TTTCAGCGAAGCGTAATTACAACTTTTAATCATGAATTAAGTTAGTCACAATATTTAATGTGCTACTCAGTGAGCATGATAAATCCACTAATCATAATAGTTGCTTAGTTACTAAATTAGAAGTAGGTAGTACTAGTATTTAGGTACGTTGCAGATTTTCCAATTGGAAATTTTACTTCAATTTTTTCCCAAGGAAATTTAAAATGTATCTAAGATTTGCTGTACTACTTCAATCATTATAGTTTACAAATTATTCCTTTTCATGTACCGCAACTTGAAGATATTTTTTTGGCGTATTGCTCCGCCCATATTGAATAACCGTATAATTTGTTTTAGACTGGTACTCGTCCCACCTCGATACTCGATTCCATCGCAGCTAACTAAGCCGAGAGGAGCGAGTACCAGTTCTATTCATGTTGGAAGTCGGAATTATTGTGATTAGTTGAAACATCTTAAATCTCTCGGAAACAGATTTTTTGAGTTTAGATTAACTAATCATTATTACGGGGAAGTGAAATATGATGAGAGCGTACGCGTACGCCACTCGACAGAATTTTCCATCGATCATGTGATCGGTACAAAATGGCGAACTGCCGAAAAAAGGTTGTTGCTGTTGTTAGTGCTGTTTATTTGCTTCTAAAAAGAAACAAAATACGGAGAAGGGCTCGTTGGGCGAATCGAAATTCGTGGTCCAGGATTGGATAATGCGCCGGAAAGGTAGAGGGGTCTACTCGAATTTAGTAAAAGAACTGGAAACATTCATTGCAAGTCTCAGCGCTATTTCTGTAATAGCGACCTCCTTCGCTACACGATCCCGGTATTCAGGGATCGTAATGTCAAAAAGGCATGGCCTTTCCGACCACAGAAATACCAATTCGCCTTCCTTTTCGCAAGTCCACACTTCTACAGTATTGGAGGCAGCCATTTTAACATCACATGATATCAACAACACGTCCGATTGGTTTAGAAAAATCGATCGGGCGACAAAATACGCCGGTCACGGGCACACGAGCGATAATTATCGCCCGGCGTAAATAATCGCCCAAAAATATCTAACATTTTGGATACGGGCGATTCGATCGGGCGATTAAAATCGGCGTCGACGTGAACGGGCACACGGGCAAATTTTTCGAGCGATTTTAGAATTCCCGGCGATCGGGCGATAAAAATCGCTCGTGTGCCCCTACCTTTAGGCTTTTTGCCTTGCGTTTTGCTACGGCAGCCCTACGGGTGTGACGCCCCTGCATACATGCGTTGCGTATGTGGTTATACACCATAGATAGTGTTTGGTACTATCATCCGCCTATATAAGCGAACCGAGTCGGATAATAATTAGTGGTAGGGTTAGATTGTGGTTAATATTAGTGTTAGGTTAGAGTTAGGGTAGCGAGTAGGATAGTCCCTAGACTGGCATTATATTACATTTATGTAATACAACATGATTGAACAGCGCATGCGCAGCAACTGCTCGGACGAATAGCGTATACGAACAGCGGAACAGGTGTCCGATGCTCGGACGAATATCCACGTCCTTATCAGAATCACACACCGACGAATTAATGGTGTCTACTAAAAAATTATTTCTGCATATATCACATCAAGATTTTCACCAAATATCATGATAATGAATGCATATATATTAAAATAAAAACTAATAGTATTTTACATTTTCAAAATATTTTTTGAAAGATATAATTTACACACAATAATCTCAAAAATAAATAAAATGGAATGGAATGAATCATGGGGGGGGGGTAATTGTCCAGGGGTATATTATATATGTCATCTGACATTTGCCCAGGAGATAATTGTATGGGGAAAAATTGTGTGGAATACAGGGTTCTCCCCAGGATGAAATTCAAACAGGGGGGAAGGGGTAGGGGAGGGGAGGGGAGAAGCGGTGCCGGCAGACCAGGAGGACGGGGGGAAACTAGGGGGGTCGCGGGGCGTGTTTTTTCCGATACGGCTAATTAATGCGTAAAATCTGCACCACACCATAGACGCGTGTATTTGTGGTTATTGTTATATTATGCCGAGTCGAGCTGTACAGCAAAGATACAGTTAGTTACAGCGTTAACTGTGCATTGTTCAGTTTAACTTCGTGTACGTCTGGCACGTGATGGTGGGTACTGGTAAATACAGCGTCGGATTACTGGTCGAACTGCGCAATTCTTGACGGGATCGATTTCCCGACGCTGGCAAACTTTTTTGTTGTGAGAATTCCGGGCGCGGAGTGTGGTGGAGTAATTTCAAAACGGGCGCCAACGATTCAAACACGGGGGGTTTTCCCAAACGGGGCTGCTCGCGCGCCCCGTTTGCGCAACGTTAGGCGCAGACCCTGATAATGTCCAGGGCAATTGCCCAAGGGGTAATTTTAAGGTACGATTGCCTGGGGGTGAATGATTGACGGCGGGCGGGGGTAATTGTCTAGGGGGGATGACCAGTGTGGCAGTATTTGTCCTAGAACCATATTATCATATTTATGTTCGACTATAGTATAGTTTCATATTGTGTTGTTTCAGATGTGAAGGATGATGTTGCATGTGTTATGGATCGCCTGGCTTGTCGTTGTTTGTCCATTGAGATATCAGTGATAACACCTAGAACCCCTTGTCAGGAAGCTGCTTTGGCCAAGGTTCAAGGAACAATACAGGAGATGCTTCAAACGAAACAGACAGATCGACCAAAAACACTTCAGATAGCAACATTGATGCTCAATGCCTGCATGCCCGACTCCACAGCGGCAGTGGACTACCGTTTTCAGGCTGATGTGATCGGCTGTGCAATCGATGATCAGAAGCGAGTGCGCAGTCAACTGCAGAAGGTGGTTGAAGACCTTAAAAAGGAGAAGAGCGAGTCATAAGGTTTATAATAACAGTGAATGTGGGGTAGTGGAAGAGTACTCGCTGGCAGCCTTCAAGTTCAACCTTTAAAGAAGTCTTTCTTAGTGTAGAACGCAGGCAATTACCAAACCTTGCGATGACAGCACCATCTTTTTAAATGTTAAAAAGATGGGCATAACTACCATAATATAATTTGTAAATCTACATAATCAAATGTGGATACATGTATACCAGGAGTAGATAATAGGGAAGGAGTGTGACTTCAATAAACAAGGTGAAATTTGTTCATTTACTTAGCCTTATAATACCTACGATTTACTACGCGTAACTCCATCCAACTTGAGCTCAAATCGTACACAGTACATCTCGCTTAGCATCGTGCGAAATCCGTTTTCTCGTATACACCCGCAATCCGGAGAGATACAGACTAAAACGTACGACAACAATTTTCCATTCTGTTGCCAGCAAACTCGAAGCGTTCAGCACGAATTTGAACAAAAGGCCAGCTACGAACCGGTTCTCCCAGTGAATTTGAACAGGGGGGGAGGCGGAGAGGGGAAAGGGGGAGCGGGAGGGGGGAGGGGAGGGGAAACTAGGGGGCGTCCGGGGGCCTGGTCGAATCACTGGCATATATAACTACTATAAAACTATAGCTACTATAAACAACTATAACTACTATAACAACTATATATAGTTCGTTGATATATAGTCAAATAGATGGCGTTGTGTGTGACCTGTAGTGCAGGTGCGGACTTGTTCTTGCTGCCAGTGGCTCGAATGGGAATTCTTGCCGAGGTGGCCCTCAACTTGCCAGATAGCAGCAGCGGCCTCCAAAGCTGACTCACTGTTCCCTCATGTAGCCACTTCCCATAAATTTTTATTTTTTTGTCTTTAATTGCGGGCGAAATAATTTAAACGTGTGCGCAACGATTGAAATGGGGGGGGGGAGATTTTCCCAAACGGGGCGGGCACGCCCGCCGTTTGCGCCAACGTTAGGGTAGAAGCCTGCCCTAACCACAGCGTTGCTCTCTCGGGTCAAGGTGGTGTGGCTCGCAGGCGAGACTTGGCACGCTGGAGCTGCTGCTGATGCGCGTGAGCGTTGCGTGGTGTGGGGGGCATACAGCTGTATGCCGGTATGCCGGCCCTGTCAAGTTATCTCCGCCGAGTGTTGCGTCGATTGTCAATCTCCCTCGTGCCACACCGCCTGGCCCGATCGAGAGCAAGCTGTGAGTTAGTAGCTGCCTCGTTTGCTTTAAATTCGGTGCTGGAACAATCGAGTTTAGCTGGCAACAGAATGGAAAATCGTGTTGTACGTTTTAGTCTGTAGGTTCCGGATTGCGGGTGTATACGAGGAAACGATTTCGCACGATGCTAGGCGAATGTACTGTGTACGATTTGAGCTCAAGTTGGATGAGTTACGAGTAGTAAATCGTAGGTATTAATTATAAGGCTAGTAAATGACGAATTTCCCTTGTTTATTGAAGTCACACTCCTTCCCTATTATCTACTCCTGATGTATACATATATAATATGAAATCGATTATCAGATGATACCAAAGTAAGTTATTTATATTAGTAATATTGTAGTGATGAATTTCTACTGGTATTGGTGATACCTTTAGTTGGATACTGACCCATGTGTTATTGTTCCCCTGTTATATGTTTACTTCAACATGTGGATGAAATTATTACAGTAACAGTACAGTCCTCCTTAAACCTGGAGATATATAAACAAAATTGAGATGGTTTTAAAATAAGACTATATCATACTTCCATGAATAAATATATACAGGGCATGAAATTAGCCAAAATGTGAACAGGCCCACCCTAAATTTTAAACAGGACCTTAGACAAATTGAACAGGCCCTTACAAGTTTGAACAGGCCTTAACAAGTTTGAACGGGCCCTTTCAAGTTTGAACAGGACCTTAATTTTGTTCAATTTATTCCATAAGTATTAGCTTTGTGTTTATTTCAGTATTTCATTGCTATCAGTGGAGTTCTACTTGTTTGACAGCAATGGCTGGAACATGATTTACTTCTTAGTAGTCACTAAGTAAAAACTAGTTAGGAAATTGGTAAATATTGTTGATCTAAAGGCAAGATAGGCAAAATTTTGAATAGGCCAAGTGGCAAGTGGACTGATTATATGGGGAGTTGAACCGGCGGCCGCCGGCAAAATTAGCGCCATTTTATATATATATACTGTACTACACATTTGTTCCTGACATTACTGTATTTCTGTATTTTGTATTGCAGTGATTATTGTAGTTTTTTGTTTGCATTTTTGATAATAACCGTATTTACTTTAGTCCTCAAATTCAGTCACTACTAGAACGAATTTGCTGATAGCTATGAACATTCACATGTTAAACTAATAGTAATGTAATCATTGTATCCCCCGAATGAAGTTCGTGGGGATACTATGGGTTTGGCATCGTCGCGCCGCCGCTGCAGAGATTTCCTTGTGAACGTTCTACCGGCTGCAGTTCTTCTCGGATCATCTTCATGGAGGTGCGTTATCGTAAAGCCAAGACGCCTATCGTTTTTGGTGTGGGCGGAGTCATCGTTGCCATGGTAAAATATTCTGGAACCTGTAACTTCTGCACTTTTTACCCGATTGTCATGAAATTTATATTTGTATTAAAATTTATATTAAAATTTATATTAAAATTTCAATTTTAAATTTTAAAAATAAAATTTCAATTTTAAAATAAAAATAAAAATTTAATATTTGTATTTAAATTTATATTTAAATTTATGATTGTCATCAAATATATATATATATATATAGGACATGTTATATCGGCCCTGTGTGCCAAATTCCATGACAATCGGGTAAAAACAGCACAAGTTACAGGTTCTACAATATATTTCCACAAAAATGTTGTTACCATGGCAACGATGACTCCGCCCACACCAAAAACGATTGGCGTCTTCGCTTTACCATAACGCACCTTCATGCCAAATTTGAAGATGATCCGAGATCGGGTAAAAACTGCCCACCAGGTCACTGCGACCTTTACTTCACCTTTACATAGATCTTGATCATATTTCTCTTCCGCTCTCTAACTCAGCCCCTAATTGACCTAGCGCGACCAAACTTGGTATGCTTACACATCTTGGGGGAGAAGGTCTGTCGCATACCAAAACCATCGCTGCCCTTGACCTTAGTTTGACCTTCACCGTCGACTTACATTTCCTCTTCGGCCTCCTAGGGTAACCAGATTCCATATACTTGCACATCTGAGGCACACCAGTTGTCTAACAAACCTTTGTCTTTGTGACTTATTTAACTTTACCTGCCTTCTACATCCTTACAGAGATATTCCATTCATACTAGATCACGGGGGATACATGTAGTTGGCGACAACTGCTCGTTTCTAGTTTTAAGACGTTAGTGATACTTACAGTCGCTATGGTTTGTCATTTTCAATAGTTAATTTTTACAGTAGCAGAACACATCTAGTATTACTAGCAAGTATATTCCATTACATAATTATTTTGATATAAGTCATGAGTAGCTTTGGTGATGTACGTGCCAATTCTTATTGGTTACGCAGTTCATAATGGCATGGCTATTATGATATATGAAACTATATTAGAACAAGTACCAATGTTTCATGTCAACATTATTGGCATTCAATGTTATCGTGATGTGCTCTCTCTATCGAAAACCCAGTTGTTGTGTAAATAAGAAACGATTGTCCTGCCTGTTTACACGCCATTTTTCTAAGAGATACTACAATTTTTGTGTGTGTACATAGGTAGAAAATTAAATTGCAGCTAAACTTGCTTATGTCTAATACATTTTATTCTTGCAAATACAAGAAAGCAGGCAACTATAGCTACCAAACTGTTTGTTCCAAGTAGCTTCAAATATTTGTACTGTGGGTAGAAATTCTGTGAATTTGAACAACTTGGCATATACATGCAGATAAAATTGGGCTTCGTTAATGCCATTTTAATTTAAAATTAAAATCGATTGATCAATTGGCACTGATGCAATGGTGACATATCAACTGGGTAGTCGTGACGATATCAGGAACAGCAATTATCATGCATGTTAAAATACCAGGAGAGTCTGTGCATGTACGATAGCAATGTTTCCAGTCCAAGCAATTGCAAGTTAACATTTGCACAGATTCCGTAATTTTACATCACAGGCATAACAGATATTATATAACACCAATATCTGTCACAGATACCAGTGAAAAATTCTGCCGATTTTCATCACTGCTACTTATGACAACCACCATAGTTTATAATACATACAACACAGAGAAATGTATTTGAAATGTTTTCACCTTTTAGCTAAAATGTACTTGGATTTCATTGGTAAGGCAAATGAAACACACGTCTTGTATGACAACTAAATACAAAATCGCTGACATTTGCATAGGTTGTCTTCCCCTATTAACAGACTTGCACAGCTTAGTACAATTTTACACACTTAGTAAGTTCATTCTTCCTCAACTTCCAGAATCCTCGGCCCATATAGTAGAACATAAGCTGTATGCCAATCACCTGCAATGGGAACACAGTTGGTAGAAAATGTGAGGTAGTGTAAATACTAGCATGTACTACTGTACTAGTGTAAATACTAAGTATCTGTGCTTACTTGTAGCAGTCACTATAGTCACAAATAAAACAATCAGAAGGATAACATATAAATAAATAATAGTTGTAAGTACAAACTTGGTCGAAACTGGAAACAAACTGCTAATCTTTTAAGCAATCCTAATTGCTCCTACCGTTCTCGCTTTTTTCCCCGACCACTACAATACTTACTGGTATTGCTTGCGTAACAGCAAGTGTCTAAATTAAGGCTAACTGGCTAATAGTCTTAGAACACTTTACATCGTTATTTTCACAAAAATACACAACACTTGAATTCTGTTTGTTTACATGGTGTTGACACGGTTACATGATGATGCCACTTGTTTCTCGTGAGACCCTACCCCTGTACTTTGATATGGCAACTTGAATTAGGCAATAGAGATATTGTTTCATGCATGCCATATTTTCAATTGTGTAACACTTCGTGACTAAGCAACATTGTTAGAACATCCCTATCACAACCATCATTGGGTCAAGCTGCCTGGAACCAGTAGGCAGATAGGCCAATTTCTGTCCGATTTACACTACTGAACAGTGGTTACATCTCCAACCATCCGTCTGTATTGCATGCAAACTCACCTCCTCCGGAAAGCTTCAAGATGTCCTCCTCTGAGACGGCAGACACGTTGTCGTCATCAAACATCGTCCATTCGCTCTTGCTTTTCCGCACCCAGGCGACGTAGTGACCGCTAGAGCTTGACCGTCCCTTGTGGGTCAGCACCGCCCGCAGTTCATAGTAGCCGCTGTTGTTGGAACCGACATCTGCGTAGCAATCGACATATCAGGCTCTGTGATCAGTGTGGTGTGCATCTTATAGGTCTGACCACAAACTATTTAAATTATTGGGCTCAGTTCATAAGCTTGGAATTAATAGATTTTAAGTATTAATTCTGTGCCAGAATGGTTCTGCAGTTCAGATACCACATTTATCTTGGTAGAAGAGACATAATACAGGCTTTCCAGCAGTCCTTGACAACATTTTAGGGCTACTTTTAGGGAGATATCAAGGTTTTTTTAGGGCTATTTTAGGAATTTTTAGGGATGAATCGAAACATTTTAGGGATAAAATAAGTCACTTACCTTTCATAAACATCAACGTGTTAACTTACAGATACAGTTCTATGTGGTATGTGTCCAGTCTACCAGCTATTCCTATCCTCCAAGTCCTCGATACGACTGTACATCATCAAGTTTCATGCAAATTAGGCATGTCTTGTACATCCAGCCAGGAACAGGGTCGTATAATCAGACACTGAAGCTTAGGAATCACTGGTAGACTAAGAGTCACAATACTTACTCTGTATAAAGATAACTAGAAAACATCCATTAGACATAATTACAAACCAAAAGTTCATCATCTCATCACCAAAAACTCCAAACATATGTGATTTTTTTTTTTTAGGAATTTGAATAAAATTTTAGCCCTTTTTGAGGAATTGCATACATTTTTAAAGTTTTTTTTAGGAATTTTAGGGCGAGCTCAAAATTTTAGGAATTTTTAGGAATTTTAGGGCCGCTGGAAAGCCTGATAATAGAACCGACACAGAACAATAACAATGAAATTACTAGCAGCAGCAACTACCATCTTCAAAGCTGTACGGCTCGCTTCGAGTCTTTTTCTCAACTTTGTCGACTTCCATAGTTTCTTCCTTGACCTCGCTCTTGTCTTTCTGTGAATGATAGACAACAAACGTCTACTGACAGCAGGGGCCATATCAAAGTGTGTTCCCAGCTAGACATGTCCCATAAATCCTAAGGCAGAACACTGGCAAGCTTAATGCCAACAGTGCCCAAAGAATGCTTTGCATTGCTCAAAAATTTGCAATGTACTTGTGAAAAGCATTGGAAGTAAATGAAATGTAAAACGTAAGCACGCTTGCTACATTTAGCGACCTTCACGTGTGGAGTAATGTCCAAATGGAAAATATATTCCTATTGGCATCTTGTCAATGCTTTGTCTCTGCGTTAAGTGGGGAATTGGAGGGTGGACTTGGTATACCTTGATTGCAGTTAGCTCTAGCTGCTTATCCTCTTGCTCTTTGAATCTGGTACGCAAGGGGATTAGCTTCTGCTGTAACTCCGGCGTGCACAGGTCAAACACGTCCAACATCATCGTAAATTTCACATCCTGAAACGACGAGACGCTTGTGAAAGCCCTTCTCAATCTTAGAAAAGCGCGACAAAGGCAGACCTCTGCACACGATATACGATCCAACCAGAATGCATCCTTTGCGGCCAAGTAGAAAAACCTTAAAGACTGTGCGACGGGAACCCAGATAGCTTGCCGAGTGCACATGTATGGTTGTCTTATTATTTATACCACATTGCATTAAGTTAATTGTGACAAAAAGCTAGCGGTGGCCAGCCCTACCGACCTAGTATGAGGTTAGGTGATTCTGCACACCGAACCCCACTATGCTGATAGGTTAGGAGCTGAAGTTAATATTTTATTACATTGAGAGAAATATAAGCCCATTTCTTATTGCTGCTCTACCAGGAACTTTGCCAATATTTCACAATAACATAGCTTTGGATACTTGCTTAAATATTTGATTATCGTTTTGTTTGAAATTATATATACACACAAATCTTATATATACCTTCAGTATTTTTGCATTTATAGCACCTTTCTCCTTATAGAAAAATCTCACAAACTGTATGGTGAGATAGCCTGGCAGCCGGCATATCTGTGATGTCTTGTGATATTCTGCATCTCTACCTAATACTGAAGACATCTTTGTGATATTCTCTTCCATCCTCTGTAAACATGAGGGTCACTTCATAAACCAATTGCCGGAACTTGAGACATCTTACAGGTTGCATTCATGAAGACACAGCACTTTAGAAAAATGTATCAGCAAGCAAAATATATGTAGTTAGTATGTTGAATAAAATACCAAAACAACTTACAGATTTTAAGCCGGTGTGAAGATATTTAACATCTGAGAAACAAAACAAAAAATTATCAGATGGACTTCTAGACGTACCCTTTTCAACTTGTTAATTACACTTCAATAAGTCTAGACAGTCTGCAGCCGGATATCCGCGCGAAGCGCGCAAACGCCGCGCCAGCGGTAACACTAATACGATTTCGCTGCACCTTCAACATCACCTTACACGGTTTACATATATAACGCAAGCACCAAATTCGCTGAATTGAGGAGTTCTGGCCATTGCACTACGGGTTTCACTACCCAGGTAGCAGGACATTTCCTAGAAATGCTCCTAATTCGAAGTTCGCTACTCGGCGCGCTTGGTTTCGTGTAAAAAACGCAGTTGAACTTTGTTGTTTGTTTGTTTTCGTTGATCAGTGTAGTACATATGGCGTGCGATAGACGGCGCAACGAACGCCGAGGCTATAGGCATAGTAGACTGGTACCCGTTCGCCACCTTTACTCCGGCATATCGCTACACTCACGTAGTGTAGCGTGTGGAACTGTCGACCGGGTACCAGTCTATATGCACATGGATTGATAGCATGGCGTCTATGTTGTAACCATGGAAAAGTTTCTTATTGTTCGTCGTTTGATTCGTTAAATAATGACGAGCCGCAACTGAAATTTTTCTCATCGGAAGGTCATCTAATTAAAAGGAAAGTCGAATTTTGTTATGGGCAGACTAACGACTATAAATAAGTATGTAACAAACGTAGATGCAGCTTTACAAATTTGTTTACATACCGGGCGGTGGTCGGTAGCCGTGTTATGTTGAATCTATCATCTTGCAGTGCAGCCTTGATCTTGCAGTGCAGACTTGCAGTTATACACTGATATGTACAGTCTTGTCGGTTTATTTACATTACTATCATAGTGACGGGAAGTTGTACTTGCAAGTAGTTGTAGTGTACGGCAGTTGCTGTATACTGATCCATAGACTGATAGCTAAGGTTAGTAAGGCTGAGAGGGTCTATGTCCCCCGGGGTACTGCAGGAACGTACCCTGGTACTATCTAATAGTAATATGCCGAACCGTAGTGTACCTCGTCTACTCCACTAACGAGTCTATGGAGTCGCCTACGCCTACTCCCTAACCCAAACCCGAACCCTAATCCTAACCCTAACCCTAATCCTAACCCTAACTATATCAAATATAGTGACCAGGGTACGTTCCGGTATACCGGACCGTACCCAGGGTACGTTCCGGCAGTACCCTGGGGGACATAGACCCTATGAGCGTTAGTAAGTGTACTGGGACCGTAAATTAACCCACTAATTCATAATGGCTCATGTAATACAGAAATGAATAAACCCTGAATGTTCCAATTATATTTATATACAGGTTATTTTTACTGCCTATAGCCTAGAGTCCTAACATATAATACGATGTATTGCGATGTATGTGTTTGTGCGCCTTTGTGCATGTATTGCTACGTGTTCTCGGCTTAGCTTAGTCACTCTATGGGTAATCGAGGTGGGAGCGAGTCCCAGTCTATATAGCCTTTGTCCTTGCAGCCATTTCCATTACTGGGCAAGGTTCGCGAACGCGAGAATTTCGTTAGTCTTTCTGTGATTTCGCGTCACACAGCTCGGTTACGAACAGAGACATTATGTTTTTATAACAAGTGAACACTGTTCACGTCCCAAATGTCTACCCTCTGTGTCCCCCACTAAAATTGCGGACTGTTCGCTTGCAGCTATGGATCCGTGCGCCGGCCAATGGATTCGGCGCACGGATCCATAGCTGCCAGCGCTGCATACTGTCGTAGGACGTTCCCGCGGTCGCGTGCGCCTTGCCGCGGAACTGCGCGCAAGATCTGCGCTTAGCGCTTCGGATCAACACATCCTTTCGGCAACGCTTCTCTAGTATCCCGTCTCATCTGGATTTGTGCCATATTCTATACATTTATGTAAACCCATTAAATGTTTTCAACACGTCTTAAATGTATGATGCAGCCTAATGAACCATGATTCTTAAAAGCGTTGTGCTTTCTGGCAGAACTCTATATTCTCCATTACCGTTAGCATGCACATATCTACAATTGCTAGCCGATTACCTTGACTGATAAAGCAGCTGAGCTGGAAGAAATCTTCATTGGAAGTTGTGGGCTGCTCCTCGTCGCATTCAACACATTTTAATCTGTACAGCTATTAAGTTATATATGTTCACAACTGCTCATAACTTCACACCTTACCCGTAATCACTAAAGAGTTATCTATAAACGACTACCACCATTCACTGAGAACAGGCGTATGGAAGTGCAGTCGTACGACATGTAAAACGTCACAGAGATAATCAATGCATTAAAGGATACACACTCTCCAACTTCCCACCGAAGTAATGGTCCATGAAAGCTGGCGGTGACGCTGCCGCCACCAACGTACCGTCTGCTGCTGCTGTGAGTGGAACCTGCTGCTGAAGCACCCTTACCATCTCTGTCCAGCACTCATTTGCATCCTACAACAGGGTGCGAAATTAACGCGAGTCCGGAGTCAAATGCTCCCTGATTTACTGCCGGACTCCCTGATTTGACATATGCAGGTGTCCGTGTGACTCCCTGTAAAGTTCTGCTATACTAACTAGTTCGTTCCAGAGCACGTCCTCGTGGAATAACCGTATTTTTTCAGCAAATCTTTAATTTTGAACTTCAGACTACGAACTCCCTCATTTTGCCGCAGAGTCCCTCTTTTTCACGGCAGGGAATCCGTTGGACAACCTTGTTCAAAAGGTAATTTCTACCCCTGCTATAACACCAAGAAGCAACGTGACAGTGAACGCGGCACTTCCTATGCAGTCCCGCTCAGGCGCTCACACTAGGAACTTTATAAAGTGAGCAAGCGTTGCTTAGTACACATCTTCTGATAGGCCTAAAAATATTCAGAACTAGGTATAATGGGTCATATAAAATATCACCCCCATTCTCTAGTGCCACCTCTTTGACCGTATATGAACATAATCAGGAGTTAATTATGACATCATTAATCCATAAGATGATGTGACTCGTACACCATATGCATATGTGATGTCTTTCACACGAGATAGAACATTACTACTATTAATTAAGGAGAACGGGCAAGGGGTTACAAAATACCAAATGTTTGCTAGAAGGAAAATGGCGAAGAATTCATGGCATTGGAACAAGTCTGATGTCCACTGTGCATAACCCAGTTAAAATCAGAAGAATAGTAAAGCAGGTATCTCGGCTTTCATCAATCTTCGGTATTACGTGATTCAGAGAGATGGCATGGTTACACACATACCTGCTGCTGGAATCCTCCATGCTCGGATTTTTCGGCGAACCGCGGAAATGCCAGATGCATGAAGTGCAGAAGAACTATCGGTGGCAGATCCTGAGACGTCTTCTCCAGTGTATCGAACAGATCCTTCAGCGACGCCGTTATAGATGCGGCTGGGTTGCTAGCGTCTGCAGGCCTGCCTTGATACCTGTGCATGGGATCATATATATTGTATCAATGTATCAATGTGGCAATTGTATATATATATAATATGATATATATATATATATACATATCAGGAGTAAATAGTCTCAAAGGAGGTTGACACATATTTTCCTGCATTTTTATCGATTTTCCACGTTAAATTTTGGCACAAATAAAAACAAATATGTATATGTTCTTGTGATTATTTCGTATGTTTATTATTCGCGCATCTTGAACTGAAATCAGTTTCTAGCACTTTACTGTCATATTGCTGTAAAGTGTGTTCAAACACAGGGTTGATTCAGAGGCTTTTCGGCATGTTGTCATAGCTATATAGGCGTATTTTGTTGAGGGAGCTGTGGGAATATGCTGCCCTCCCTATGCAACATCAGTGGACATATTAAGTGATGGTGACCAATAAAGAATTATAAGTTAACAATTATTAGCCACATGCAATGCACTCCCGATTTATGGTTTTACTACAAACACAACATGACAGCCAGTTTAAAAACACACCACTGCAATATTAGTATGACATTGCATACATGTGTATTTGCATAATTAATTATTAAATTTAAGTACTAAATTAATTTAAACACTCAAGTGAGATATAACCACTATGCATTGGATATTGCTGTTAGGTTGGTCAAGCAAATTCGGTTTGCACGCTGTGCATGCAACTTCAACTACTAAGCTAGCTAGTGTCCACTTTGTAGCATATCATCACTAAGTATATTGTATTCAGGATGAATAATTGCAATGCTGATTAGCTATAGTTATCTATTAATCACACCAGACAGATGTGTCAATTCTAGTATCCTACCTTTTTAGTGCATCTCTCAGTTCGGGTACGGAGTGCAAGCACTGTACAGTGGCATTCATATAACAGGTGTTCCCGAGGTTGTTTAGCCCAGCTGGAAGGGACAGCTGCAAATGTGGCACACCAACATCAATACCACACGTATTCCTACCACTAGCTACTTTGCCACATAATTACAGTTCTTTCATAACTACCTATACTATACTATATATATGTTACTCCACATTCATCATCACTTATCAGCAAACAATTATGTTCTATGGGGTTCTACTGCAAATACACTAGATATCATCTTGACCATTGATATGTTAAAATATTATGCGGTTTTACATACAGCAGATGCCAGCTGAGTTTCAGACATATCCTCTACAAACTTGGGCTTTTCCCTAGGCTCTGTAGGTAGTTCTCCTGCACTGCCCATCATCAGAAATAAAGTGCCCTGGAAACAATAATAGTGAAGCTTGCAATATATGTATCTGAGAAAGACTGCTTTGATACGATACTTGTCACATGATAAGGTTTATGATCAAATTTGATAACATTTGACATTCATAACGCTTACATCTTTTATTTTCAAATTTCCCCAGTCGTCATCCTTCAGGACAGCTCCTTTCAACATCACCTATAGTAAACAAAAATAAGAATGCATTTGTATCGATCACTACTGCAGTACATCCACATTTAATAATTTTGATCATAACTCACAAACATATATTAATTCTATTATAAATTTGCTCATATCACACATTTACCGAATAGAATTTATTATGCACATATATGCACCCATTTAAACATTTTTAGTGTAAACCAAACCTTCTGCCGGTCTGGCTCCACACCAGACAGGGCAAACATCTGTGCTTTGAACAAAACTGGAGGCTCATCCATGTTGCACTCAACATCTTCAAATTTTTCTTTCCCCCACTTAACCTTCACTGAAATAATGCATATAAATAGAAATTATAAACACTTATTTCTACAAGTTGCCAAAAGTAACTAGTAGGGTGACATTTAATTCATAGCATAAAAGGAAAAACTGAAAATAATGCCATGCAACATGCAAGTTTAGACATCAAAATATTTAGAATAGTTTCAATTTCTGCAGTCACAGCCTTGCACAAAACTTCAAGTACTGGTAGTAGGCGGTACCCAAATAGTTAATCAAAGGTGTGGATGTTTGAAACGTCGTAATAAATCAAAGCCATATGTGTCAACCCAAAAAAAAAGACAGTATAGTTGCAGGGCCGTAGTGGCCGCCACGGCAATTTGAAAAAAAAAATTATGCAGGGAACCAAGGAGCAACATATACCAAGGAGATGAAACCCCGAGGGGGGGGAGGGGGGCACTCACCCCACATTATGGTAGGTATGTGCCACTGCAAAGTCAAAAATGGGGGGGGGGGCTCCAGGGCCGTATCCAGAGGTTTGGCAGAGGGGGGTTACCAAAATGGCGATGCGAAGCTTCGCCCGACGCCGCGAAGCGGTGAGTGGGGGAGAGTGCCGGCCAATTTTTTTTGGGTTTTTTAAACATGCTAGATGTTATTTCCTGGCATCTAGTTCACTTCAATTGTTTGGTTAATTCATACAAAAACAGTGTATATCACCATAACAATATTAACATCAATAAAATAAAATTGAGATTTGTAACAAAACTCGTCTCTGCGGTTGCGGAATTAGACTAATTATTCTCTCGTTGTGGTGATCCATCCAATCTAGATACTAGGATGATGACCTGTGACTCTGAAAATTATAGTGTTAACTAAAACGTGTTAGCAGTAGTAGAGTGTTTCAGTAGTTTACAAACCATCAATGAGTTCTTTATCTTAAAAAAACAGTTATAATTACATTTGTTAATGGTTACACAAAAAGTAACTTTTATACCATTACAATTTCGACTAGTTAACGACACTGTTACAGGCCGTAGCCAGCTTTAGTATGCGGGGGAGGGGTTCGTTTTCAATGTTGGCATTTGCTAGCAGGGCGTGTACAGGACTTGCTACAGGGGGGGGGGGTCGAAACTCGTTAACCCAAAGTTGTTCACGCGAGGGTTGGGCCTGACCCGCCCGACAGGTCGCATGCAGCACGCGTGCCTACCGACCCCCCCGCCCCCTACGCGGGCCCTCCGCCCCCCCGAAATTTTTAAAACATTTAGACGCCCTCAGAATGCGGTTTCTGCCGCGAGCAAGGGGGGTTCGGACTCCCTGGACCCCCCCCACCCTGCTAACGCCCGCTGCTCAGGCGCGAGCGACCAGACACGGAGCACGCGACGAGCGGGGGAGGGTATGGAGGGGGTGTTCACTGTTCACCCTCCCGCACGATGCGAGATTTTGCAATTATTACACTAAAATGAGCGACCTGAGGTGAAATTTCTTTGCAAATTTTCAAAAAAATAGTTTTTGCTTGGGGGCTCGGCGTGGCGGGGGATTCGTTCGAAACCCCCGACCCCCCTGACTACGGCCTTGTGTTATACCCACTAGTATCACAATACTTGTATTTGTATAGATCCATGTAACGTAGTAAGGACCGAGTAAACAACTGTAGGTCCAAACATGTTACTAGGTTTAAAATATACTTTTGTTTTTTTATCAACAAGGGCGGGTTACAGAAACCAAATAACCTCCCCGCTGGGTACTGGCCCCTGGGCTCTGGAAATTAATCAGACGCTAAATGGGCTCCTGAACTAATGTTTTGTTGAATGTGGTATGCTCTGGAACTGGCTATGTTCGAAGATGGGGGTCTCCAGGAACTAGGATTTCGTTTGAAAGTTCAATCAGGCGTCATAGTTAAGGACCCATGTTGAAATTAAGGACTTATAAGCACCCTTTCTGGAGCCAAAATAAGCACTTTTTTACACGATTTTGATAATCAACCAACTACTAAAGTACACTAATAATATTTATATACACAATTGCACAGCAGATTTAATTATTCCGTATTATATATACAAACAATTCTTACTCTAACTTCGAGAACAGTTATAAAACAATTTATACTGAAATAAATTTAGTGTTGAAAAATAAGGACTTTGAGTACTTTTTAAAGATTTCAACAACAAAAATAAGTACTATAAGGGCCCTTATTTATTTTGGCAAAATAAGTACTTTATAAAGACTTTGGAAGACCGCTTACGAGAGTCCTGTCAATGGCTATGACGACTGGACACGTTTAAAAGAGGGGGTCATCCGAACTGTGGGCCGGAACAGTGATTGCCTTTAAAATATTGCTGTACACTTGAACCAATAATTGTTGTATATTAGCTTAGAGGAGAAAAAACATGACCCGGAGAGAGATGTGAACCACGCACGCGCACGCGCACGCGCACTGCGCACGCACACGCACAACACACACACACACACAGGACAACACACGCACGCACGCGCAGATACAACACACACACGTTGCATGCATGCCTTGACGGCCGGCTTCAACGTATCTGAGTACGATGCATCTGGAACAGAAATATTAAAAACTAGGGTCTCCGGAACGCAACAATGTAAGATTCTGCATGGTAACTAAACTTAATGCTCTGAACGAGATATCTAAAAATGCAATGCACTGGAACGGAAGTTTAGGGTTAAGGTTGAAAATGGCGCGTCTCTCGCAGCCACATACCTACCATGCAATATATATGAGTGGCCCCCCCTCCGACCCAGCACGACCCAGTTAAGACTTAACAATGCAATGGTCATATTAGACAAGGTAGATGAACAAAATGTAATTTCAGAATTTGTAAGTTGGCATCCAGGCAGAAAAGATAAAATTGGAATAAATAAACAAGTGCCGCGGAGCGACAGCGCTCATCTAACGTCTACTGCGTGACTCTGTGGGTGGAGTGGTGGGATTCTAGTAAACCCTGTTAGTCCCAAATGTGTTCACATACACACCGAAACATGGAATGCCACAGGATGGTATTAGGAACCTTCTCAAAGGAATGTTCATTGGTATCATTATGAAAGTTGCCACGAGATGGCACGACGTTTAAGTGTCTTCAGATTAAAGATGGAAGCTCCCATCGTACGTAGTAGCAACAACTATTTGCAAGACAGAATAGGTAAGCACTCATCCATTTACCTACGCAAGCCTACAGGCTGCAATAGACAAGCTGCCACCTGTAACCAATTAACGCAGGCAAAAACTACACAGTACAATAACACATGCACTGGCAGTAGCCACTGGCAGTGGCATACGTTACATGTAACATAACTGACAGTACAAAATGCCATAGAAATTATACGATTTAAGGAGCATAAACCTTCTTTAACCAAATTTAGCTTTTGAAATTTCAATGTGACGTAAGCCTCATACATCCAGGCATGTATAGATTCTACTAGCAAACCGCGCAGTCAAATTCTTTCTAACAGACAGTCACAAATCCTGTTTAACCCTCTCTGAGGGTCAAAAGGTTATCGTGACACTTACTCTTCGCATGTCAGCAGAAAGTAGATTTCATGGTCCTTTCAATAATGCCATAAAAATGCTAGGTCACCGCTGAAACAAAAAAGTTTTCAATCGCTCCGTCACACCATGTCCTCAGAAATGTCTAAATCTGCCCTGGCCCATTGACCTTGACCTGTGACCTCCCAATTTCGGCACAGTGAATGGCTTTTCCACCATGATGCCTATACACCGACTATCACGAGCTAGGTCGAAGCCGTTTAGATTTGTGCCCGCAATTCTGCATTTCCTCCCTATACCTTAAGTTAAGGATGAATGTTCCACCTCTTTTTACACCTCTTGACCTTTGACCTTTGACCCCAGCCTTCACATCCCAACTCGTTTTTGGATTAGCCCCCCACGTCCCGAATATCGTGACCGTACGTCGGAGCGGTTAAGATTTGTGCCCAACTCGTTGACGGACGACGCTCGGACGGACGGAACGGACGCGTACGGTACGGACGATTCATGCATTCTACAAGCTGCATCTGACTATTCAGAGTGACGTAAAAAATAAAATGACAAGTTATCTGACTGGACTGTCTTGTATTACTATTAATACTGATCAATTAGAGGTGTTATATCATGTGCTCTAAGATTTGGAATGTGTATTTAATCATAACAATGTGCCTATTCAAATTCAAACTTCAAAACATACAGAGTGTACATAGTGAAAGTATAAATGCAGATAGAAAATAGGCTTATTTTTCATAATTATGTACTGATAGTATGTACAATTTTGTAAATAATGTTTATTAGTTATCATACTCATAATATATATTTTAGATACTTTAGTCAAAAACATCAGCTTTAGCTACATTCCTCTTTGAAATTTACAAATTTGACCTTTTAAAGATCAGAATTGGTTGCTTTCAACATAGCCTGAAAATGCAGGAAATGCCATTTCAAAATTTTTCTGGGGGAGTACCCCAGACCCCCTGCATCGGCTATATATTTCTGCAGTGGCCCTTTTTGGGAGGCCACTACGGCCCCAAGTTGTCACTGCAGTGTTGCAGGGTCAGTAGCTGCGATTTTCTCACCAACTGTTATTGTCCGATTGCATGGTCAGTCATTATACTTGTACTAAGGCTGATAGGGTCTATGTCCCCCAGGGTACTGCCGGAACGTACCCTGGTAACTATCTGACATGCCGGACCGTACTCGCTTACTCCTACCGTACTCTGACTGTCCCTGTTCCGCCACTACTCATGTAGCAAAATTTGAAATATACATACAGACCTGTATGATATCTTTATAAAGTTGGATTGGAGTATGAAACTGTGAAACCAAGAAGAAATTTCAACCTAGATATACACTGATGCTTGCAATCCTTTTGCAAATATTGCGATGATTGGGAATGCGTTTTCCATTCGCAATGTTTACGACATTTTCGCGCATTTTCGCGCGAGATTTTTGAAAGATGGCTCCAAGTGTTGTGGTGGAACAGGAAAATTTGTATGATTATCTTAATGGGTTGGAAACGTATAGATTCGCTGACACTAGACGGGAGACACTAGACTAGACGGGAGGTGAAATGTAACAGAGTAACGGACAGGGTTACGAATATTTTGCGGGAACGGACCGGAAACAAGGAACAGGAGCATAAAGCGGCGCGTTTCCTGCCAACAAGCGGTATGTATTACAACATCGGCTGAAAGTCAGGGTACGGTTTGGAGTAGGCGAGGTACGCGTACGGTGCGGCATATTAGATAGTTACCAGGGTACGTTCCGGTATACCGGACCGTACCCAGGGTACGCTCCGGCAGTAACCTGGGGGACATACCCTATCAGCTGTACTAAGCTGCAGCTGCTGTCTTGGTATTTATGGTTTACTTTGAGGTAAACACAATGAAATACACCCATTATTTAATAGCCATTATTCATTCAATATTCACCAATCAATGACAATGCCAAGGCAATGGATCATGAAATCATATCTATCCTTGAACCAACAATAGGCCTATTGAGTATTGTCCATTGAATAATAATAATATATTATTATTAATTATAATAATATATGAATTTCGAAGTAAAAATGATTTTTTGAATTGGCAAAGAACTAATACTAGTAGACTACTAGTATAATCACTCTTTGTCTTACTTCTAATATTTATTAATGACAGTTTCCGTGTTTCAGAAAGAAAGAAAGAAAGAAGAAACATCACATCAGAGTGTCTGAGTGACCACACCAGATAACGTGTCCTCCGACATTTCATTATTTGACCATGTCATTTGCAAACAGATTAGTGATGCCAAAAATGTAACCAACCATACAAACCTTTATATGATGGCATTTTGAAAGATTCACATGTAAAACAAATGTCTTGGCAAAACGTTTGCAAAAATGACAGTGCAGATTTCACACTAGTCGTAGTAGTAGCAGGAGTAGTAGTAGTATAGAGAGTTATTTATGCAACGTAAACTACTACGCACACGGACACCGGCGGCAGATGTTTGCAGCGCCACCAATCGGCAAAATATATTACGACAAAAAAGACTGTACGTGGAAATGCAATCAGAGCAATGCTCAAATATGACTCTTTGGCACCATCTCGCGTTAAAAAGAATTATAAAATGGATATGTGGATTAACTGTTGACACCATAAATACACTAAATATTATCAAGAGTACATAATAGAGATTATTATTATCTATATTATGTACTGTATGACTGTATACTGTACTGTATTATGTATCTGTATTATGTACTCTTGATATTATTTATGAGCGTATTTAAGTAATTTTTAGATGAATGGAAATAAGATATGTATAAGTAATATTATAATATGAGAAGTAAGAATAAGAAAATATATATATAAATAATGATAATAATGATTATGTTATGTATATTTATTTATTGATTATATTACTGACACATTATATTATATTTAATATTTAATGCATACTATATTATAGATACATAAATTACATAACATTATTATTAATACATTCATTATTTATAATATTACTAAAATACGCTTACTATATAATTTCATTACGTTATCTTACTTATTTCTATTTCCTATATTACCTAAATACGCTCACGTCTAGTGTATTTGTGGTGTCAACAGTTAATTCCATATATACGCACTTTATAATTATTTTTCAGGCGAGATGGCGCCAAAGAGTCATATTTCAGTATGGCATTAATTTTACCTTTTGCACTTACCATGGATATATACAACCCATATGTGTTGTATCTATCTATGCACTTATTAACGGTTATATTTTCCACTAATGTCTCTTCGCTATAAAATATTTGCATGATATCAAGAGCATATAAAGAAGGCTTATATGGCTTAGAAGGCTTAAAGAATGCCTTCTTTATATGCTCTTGATGATATATATATATACTAGAGGCTTGTGCAGGTACACGTGCGTGCGTGCGTGCGTGTGTACGTATACGTGCGTGCATGCATGCGTGCGTGCGTGTGCACGTACATGTGCGTGCATGAGTGTGTGCGTGCGTGTGCACGTACACGTGCGTGCGTGCGTGCGTGCGTGTGTACGTACACGTGCGTGCGTGCGTGTGATCTTACACGAGCGTGCGTGCGTGTGAACTTACACGAGCGTGCATGCGTGCGTGCGTCCGTGTGTGTGCACGTACACGTGCATGCGTGCGTGCGTGCGTGTGCAGGTACACGTGTGCATGTGTGCGTGCGTGCGTACGTGCGTGTGTGTGCTGGTACACGTGTGTGCGTGCGTGCATGCATGTGCACGTAGACGTGCGTGCGTGCGTGTGTGCGTGTGCACGTACACGTGCGTGCATGCGAGCGTGCGTGCGTGTGCACGTACACGTGCGTGCGTGCGTGCGTGCGTGTGTACGTACACGTGCGTGCGTGCGTGCGTACACGTGCGTGCGTGTGTACGTACACGTGCGTGCGTGCGTGCACTTGTATCGAACAATATCACGCATCTGCTTGCTGCCAACCGTTAAACTGCGCATGTGCTCATATGACGGCAATGTTTATAAACATGAAACATCGCCATAGTCAGCCGAAAACACAGAGACACGAGTCATACGAAACGTGTAAAAGTAAGGGATCCATTTCTGTTTTACGCGAATGACACGGCTTGTTGAACCAAATGAGAGAGTGGTAGTACCTTCGAAGTGGTAGAAGAAGAGAAAGAAGTAGTAGAAAAAGCGCAAAGGGACAAAGTGACAGCAGATTCAAACCAAAGGGACAATAATCTTGATCGAGCCATTGAAAACGTTACAAGATTAGGCCGTGTATCTAGAAAACCTAAGAGTTTTAGTTTTAAATTCTTGTAAACTGCGTGTTTCAATATGTACAGTTGTGTACTATGTATGTAGTTGCCTCGAGCCGGCCTCGACCCGAGTCCTCGAGTCCGAGTCCGAGTCCGAGTCCGAGTCATTGCACTCCGAGGCCAAGACCAAGGAAAACGGTCTAGACCGGCCTCGAGACCTACAACACTGGTGTGTGTGTGTGTGTGTGTGTGTGTGTGTGTGTGTGTGTGTGTGTGTGTGTGTGTGTGTGTGTGCAATAATGCTTTTGAAGAAAATATTCATTTTTTTAATGAATTTATTTATTTTATTTTATTAGCAGTTGTTTCGTTATATATCTTCATAAAATGCAGTTTCAAATCTCAATTATTGTGCGTACCGTACGCACGAAATAGAACTCTTTGTGAATGCCACCTAAATGCCTGTTTGTGCGTACGAACGCTGGTACGCACGATATTGTGCGTACGAACTGTTCTTGAATCCGGCCCCTGATCATAGAGATTCTTCATGATAGACAAAAACGCAAAACGTGTAAATTCAGAAAAATACTGATTTACTATGTATATACAGTCTACATTTAGAGCAACTATATATGGTCTGATATGACACACACTATTTCAAACAAACTATATGCTTCTATGACTCCACAAGAAAATTATTCTCATGACGATTAGGAATAAACAATTACAATGTTGTGATTATTTACTCATGGTATGATGCATATACATTCACTTATATATAACCGCATAACATTAGTAATTTCCATGGTTCATCCATAATAAATTATAATGCAACCTGCAAACTTAACCTAGAGATGGGAAAAGTAAGCATAAAACGGAATATGGTACCATGAACAGATGATAACAATGAAATATAATATCAACAACAAATAAAACTCTAACCGAATTGAGTAACAATCCCACTTATTTCATTTCGTTCTTTTACTTATCATTTAGTTATATTTTGCTACGCTCATCCAAACAACACTAGAATTTTCTACGCTTTGAGAAATGCATACTAGGCAATCACAAAATTAATGAATTAAATACAAAATGCTTCCTTCATTTGTGTCCACAACGTGTGATTCGCCTGATAAATTTGTGGCTTCTGCCTAGCCAGACCTATATTGAATAACTGCCACTGCATATGCTTACACACGGCCAAGTATTAACAAAATCACACTTTTTTGCATCAATATGATGCAAGGATGTAGAAACACGTGTATAAACACACGCACGCGCGCACACACTGAACACGCACGCACAGTGACACTGATAAATTCAACAAATATACATTCTATAAACTGTTTAACAAGCAACAAGATTTCTACATGATCAGAAAAGTTAGGAACTATACAGTAACATTATTTGACTAGACCCTCATATATAGCACTAGTATACACAACAACTGGTTAACAGGAGTGAATAAATACAAAGTTATGTTTTTATTGATGATATTGTAGATGTTATCATATCTCAAAAGAGTTTGCACGGTTAACACGACTTATATGTCATAATTAACAATGATTATATTTAATGTAAAATTAAATTTTTCAATGTTTAGTTTTCTAGAAAGAAAGTAGTCAAAATCAGAGGTAATTGGTATTATAGACTGGCATGATTATCATGTCAAGCAAGTGACATAATTTCAACAGTAGTGTGGTGCTCGTCCAGCAACAAGCTCATAGCCTAGATATGTTTTAGATCATTCACGACTCTAATAAGTATCCTTACAACCTATTTGTGACAAAACGTGAAGTAGGAAACAGCTGCCATAGATCAAGGATATTTGAGTGAACTATGCAACTATAAATTCTTTTAATCAACCAAACTATGCTTCGATGATTCAACAAGAAAATGACTCTCATAATTCCAATCTTCTAGTATATTGACTTGATTACTGCTATACATTAGCATGATGGATATACATTCACTTCTATTTAACCCCATAATAATAGTAATTACCATTGTTCACGAATAATAAAATATGATGCAACCTGCAAATTTAACCTAGAGATGGGCGAATTAAGCATTAAACGTAAACCGAGGAGCTGGAAGGGAACAACATGAGCAGATATAATATATATAATATCAACAACAAATAAAACTCGCTCTTAGATATCGAATCAAATTGAGTAACAATCCCACTTATTTCATTGCGTCCTGTGCGTCATATGCGCCTCCTGGCGAGAAATTGACTGAAGCCATAGCAGAAGACAGACGGAGGAAATGGAATAAACTCATCCAGTCTTCAAACATGACCCATAGCAGTAGAAAAACATGGAAGACAATTCCGATGATGGGAAATCAAATGACTTCTCTAAAGTACAACCAAGACCAGAAGTGACTGCTGATCAGGTTGCTTATCAACTCCTTGTGAACAGCCAGGGAAACCATAACCATCATCCAAGTTAAAGTAGGGCTAAGCTCCCAAAGGCTGAGTGTACTTCACAAGAGACCCCAGACCTCACAAGACCTTTCAACACGAGTGAACTGATTAATGATATCAAAGTGATGAAAGTAACGATATTCTGTGTGAACAGATCAAGCATCTCGGCTCTGCTGCTCTTCCATGGCTGCTTGATATGTTTAACAGCTGCCTATGTGCTAATAAGATCCCAAAGCTGTGGAGGAAAGCCAGAGTTGTTGCAATACTGAAGCCTGGTAAAGACTCAGCTAGTCTAAAGAGTTATAGGCCCATCTCATTGCTCTTCCATACATACAAGCTCTTTGAAGGACTCATCCTCAACCGTTTGGCCCCTTTCGTGGATGAACACCCCATTCCAGAGCAGGCAGGTTTTCGAGCAGGAAACTCCTGTACTAGCCAACTCCCCAAACTTACACAGTTCATTGAAGACTGGTACGAGAAAGGGCTGATTACTGGAGCTGCTTTTATTGACCTCTCCTCAGCTTACGAGCCAAGCAACCACAGAATTCTTACCAAGAAACTATAATAGCTGGTAAAGAATGTCAGACTGACAGAATTGATCAAGAAATCTGCTGGAAAACAGGCGGTTTTTCGTAGATCTCAATGGTAACCGCAGCAAATGGCATAGATAGAAAATGGTCTTCCACAAGGCAGCATTCTGGCTCCTTTGCTCTTTAACGTATACATAAATGACCAGCCAGTACACCCAAACACCATGCGTTTCCTGTATGCAGATCACCCCTGCATTGCCTCACAGAAAGTCCTTTTAAGAAGTCGAGCAGTCCCTCACTGATGCTCTCGCATGTCTAGCCACGTACTACACTGCAAACCATCCACGTGCGACTACCGCGAACACACAAAATAAGTGTCTTCCATATAAAGAACAGGGATCCATATCGCCAATTGAAAGTTAAACGGTATGATAAAGGGCTGACACATGCATAACCGAGTCTGCCTAAGTGTTACTTTAGACCGCTTTCTAACTTACAAGGATCACATCACCAAGACCAAGGTGGGTGACAAAAACAGTATTGCACAACGTGTGATTCATCTGATAAATTTGTGGATTGTGCCTAGCCAGACCTATATTGAATAACTGCCACTGTATATACACACGGCCAGATAATAGGAAAATCGCTCTTTTGCATCAATATGATGCAAGCATGTGCCAACACATGCATACAAATATGCGCGCGCACACACACACAGCACGCAAGCGCGCGCGCACACACACACAGCACGCAAGCGCGCGCACACACACACAGCACGCAAGCGCGCGCACACACACACAGCACGCAAGCGCGCGCACACACACACAGCACGCAAGCGCGCGCGCACAAACACACTGATAAATTCAACAAATATATATTCTATAAATTGCATAACTAGCCACACGATTTCCATATAATTACAAAAGCCAAGCACAATACAGTAACATTATGTGACTAGACTATATATAACACCAGTATATGCAACAACTGTCTATCAGGAGTGAATAAATACAAAGTTTTGTTTTTCAGCTGTTATCATATCTCAAAAAAGTTTGCAAGGTTGACATGACATATATGTCATAATTAACAATGATTATATTTACCAAGAAATTAAATTGATTAAGGTTTAGTTTTCTAAACAAGTGCCGCAGAGCAACAGCGCTCACCTGACGGCAGGTGTTCTGATGCTAAACTCACTGGCAAACGAATGAAGAGCATCCTCCCATCACCGCATTCGTTCTCAGAGCATATATCTAGGATACTACTAATACAGATCTAAAATCTATGATAGCTAGGCTTTGCTATACCGGTAGTACAGTAATAAAGATACAGCTGTGTAACTTTAATGACTTCGCTATATTAACATGTTATCATGAATATGCGTCGAGCGCTAGCGTAGTGGTGGTGGTGGGGGGAGAGTGGGGGGAGGGGGCCGGTAGAGGGGGCTCTAATAGCAATAGCAGTTGCCGCGAGATGGCGCGTGCAAGTGTCATCAATAATCAAAGATGGCATCACCCTTCGTGCGTGATAACCTCACTCCATTGAGTTGCTGAAATCCAAGTATATTCAGGCAGGCGAGAATTTCACTCAGCTGTGAGTTAACACATCTGCATTGCAAGTTGCCAGGCAATAATTATGATTAGAATAGTGCCAGTTCACCCCCATGTATGCGTAATGGGCTGCCCCCATGTTTTTGCCTACCAACGCGAGCATTAAGGGTTCATTACAGTGTGCTACTCAAGGTGCTAATACACTGCTTTAGAAAATAATATGATTTAAGGAGCGTAAACCTTGTTCAACAAACATTTGTCTTTGCAAATGAACTGTCCAACTGTAGCCTCACATCCACAATAGCAAAAGCAGTTCAGTCCTTTGTTAACAGTCAACAAATCCATGTTTAACCCTCCTCTTGAGGGTCAAAAGGTTATCCAACACTTACTCTTCGCATGTCAGCGGAAAGTACATTTCATGGTCTTTTCAATAAAGCCATAAAAATGGTAGGTCACCGCTGAAACAAAAAAGTTTTTCCATCGCTCCGTCAGACCATGTCCTCAGAAAATGTCTAAAATCTGCCCTGTGCCCCATTGACCTTTGACCGGTGACCTCCAATTTCGGCACAGTGATGGCTTTTCCTACCATGATGCTATACACCGACTATCACGAGCCTAGGTCGAGCCGTTTAGATTTGTGCCGCAATTCTGAATTTCCTCCCTATACCTTAAGTTATGGAGGGAATGTTCCCCCTTCTTTTACACATCTTGACCTTTGACCTTTGACCCCCAGCTTCGACATCCCAACTCGTTTTCGGATTACCCCCCCCCCCCCCCACGTCCCGAATATCGTGACCGTACGTCAAGCCGTTTAGATTTGTGCCCAACTGTTGACGAACGCACGCACGGCCGGACGCACGCTCATGCGATTCTACAAGCTGCATCTGACTATGTCAGATGAGCTAAAAAGAAAGTAGTCAAAATCAAAGGTTGGTATTATAGACTGGCATTATCATGTCAAGCAAGTGACATAATTTCACAGTAGTGTGACGTTCGTCCAGCAACAAGCTCACAGCCTATGTTTTATATCATTCATGACTCAAAATAAGTATCCTTACAACCTATTTGTGACAAAACGTGAAGTAGGAAACAGCTGCCGTAGATCAAGGATATTTGAGTAAATTTTGTAATTAAAAATAGCCCCTCCCCATACTTCTCTCTTTCGCTTGCTCTTATTCTCTGAGTTGTTGTAACTCAGAGGAGCACATACTTGAAGACATGTGACATTAACTCCTAATTGTGGCTGCATCTTATGGCACCAGGGAAAATCTTTGATACAGGTTTGCACTGAAACATTACAGAATATGAAATTAATTCAAAGATTTAAGACGTGGTAGAAAATAATTACATTGATTATGTTACGATAAAACAGCGAGTGCCAAACTAAACTTTGCCCATGCATGAAATACACACCTCGTGAACTCTCTACAGAAGATGTGGACACATTAATCACATTGTACTCATCAACCTAAGTTGCTTTTATACAGGGTACTTGACTTGTAGAGAAAACTCACTGAGTAGAGAGTTCACTGATACAAGAAGCTCTGTCAGTGATCTGTTCAGTTGCTAATATAGTAGGGGTGAGAAATCAAGCGACAGGGCTGCACACCTTGTGGACAACGACGCACAGCGTGATCTGTCCTACGGCATTAGAGTGGAACGTTGGCGTACAGGTCGGACATCGACTCTCCGTTGTGTGCTCTGCGAATCGCCTCCGCTATGATTCTTGATACGTCAATGCACTGCAACCGTTCAACAAGCTTGCACAATGTCTAGCGACATTCTGTCACGCACGCAGGCAACCGACTTCATGGCCGACGCGAGACACATTTACTCATGACATGTAGACTTACTAGTGGATAGTTAGTCACTGTACTGTAGAGAATATTTTTTACCGTTCTCGCGTCAATGCATTATCTCACGTTCACCTGTACATAGATTTCGTATTACCATAACGGAGGCTCGCTAAAATAGTTTTACGTGGTGCCTTGGGTGTCTGATCATAGAAAGAATGGGAAACTTACGAATCTAGATTTATCTGTCAAGTATCCCATGAGATTAAGATCAGATTACTATATCCATTGAGCGACACTACAAAATGACAAACCAGTTATGCATTATTCAGAAATTCGGATAGGTAGTAAGTGTTGTATGCATGCTAAATACATGAATGTACTTTTTTTACGTACTTGTATCTTGGAGCATATTTTCATTTTTTCATCCTGTGGTATCGTGTTTGTCACAACCACTGCCTCGATGGATGCATTCTCGATCCGACTCAGTGCAGGCCCCGAAAAGACGCCGTGCGTTAGAATAGCATACACCTTGGCAGCTCCAGCTTCAAAAAGTCTACAAAATATTATACAATATATATACAGTGTAGCCCCGTCATAACGCGATGATTAGGGTCCATAAAATGTCATCGCGAAAAAAGCGGGGTCGCGCTAAATCGAGGATATATATACGTGGCTATATAAGAGCAAAAAAAGGCGGTCCAACGACTCATCGCGTTAAATCGGGGCATGTAAAATCGAAGTTCCACTGTATATAATGGCATATGGCATTTCTCTTTGGGATCGGCACCCATTCGGATATGGGATTTGGCCGGATATGAGAGTTATGCTCAAACACAGCATTTCTATGCAGTTCAGTAGGGTTTATGCATGTGATAATGTATTTACTCGTTGCTATGATTATTTGTAACAAACTGTCATGTTTTATGGTTTATATGAAATAGAAATAAAATAAAATAAAACAGAAATTTTACCACCTCGGTTTATGTTTGTTTCTTTTGTGCTGAGATCTAGGGCTGTAACGATCGATACACTCGCGTATTCGGCGCCTTTGATTGAAGACGTTGAAGCCTCGTTAACAGACGAAAGTTGTCCGGAGGCATAGGGCGCACACACACGCACGCACGCACGCACGCACGCACGCACGCACACACATGCAAACACACGTACGGTTGGTACATCGCGCGAGTTCTGAGTGAGAGTTTTAGGTGGAAATGAATGAAAAAACAGAGAACATACACTGCGAGATCGCGGCCGGTTAATAGATATTTCCGGATAACGGATGGCCGGATAAAGGAGTTCGGACTGTAATTAGTTATCAGTTAACATCGAAAATAAGGCCTACACAAATGCATTGTTAACAATTGAAGAGGAAAAGCCTTTTTTCACGAGTCTACATCTATACACAACCCACATAACACACACACATAACGCAACACATACACAGGTTATAATTAAACTGTAAGCTCATTGAAATGGATCACTGATCACTCACTCGATAATGCGCTCCTGGGCAGCAATATTAATATCAGGTTTTGTAGGAAAAATCTAATTTATTGACACAGCTTTGCGGTACTTATATCAAAATCACGAAAGCAATAGTACTGCACACAAAATATATACTCAAGTGTTCACCAAGACATACTTTTCAGCAGCTGTGCACAGGGTTCCACAAGTGTCTGCCATATCATCCACTAAGATGGCTGGTTTTTCTCGCACATCGCCAACCAGCACCATAGATTGCACCTCGTTCGCCTTTTTCCGCTCCTTGTGGATCAGAGCAAACTCAACATTCAGCTGATCGGCAATGGATGTCACCCTGGAAAAAAAATGCGAGTTGTTACAACAAGGGCCGCATTAGTGTGAAAAATCCAATGGAATAAAAAACATAATTAGCTCGCATGCATAAACAAATAAAAAATTACACATTTCAGGCTTTCTGCTCAAAAATTCACCACACAGGACATAAAAACACCACGACTGTACATCACAGGCAGATATTTGTATCAGATTTAGTTGTGACAACCTAACTGATCCATCAGATGCCTCAGCAGCAATAATGCATTTACAAATTAGCCTTCCACCTCTAACTAAGTTTCTTCTACCTCTTGGCACCACCTGCATCTGGAGATACAATGCAGGCATTTTTCCAGTCTGATATGTTCTCCTTGATCCATTTCATCACTGCCGGTTCTGCATAAAGGTTGTCAACGGGAATTTCAAAAAACCCCTGGAAAGCATGAATTTCCACTGCTATAACAAAATGCATGGAAAGACGTGTCATTTTACTACTCAACCCTGAAAACTATAGGGTGTTTCATATTATAAATTTTGATAACGAAGTAAATATAAGTTAGTATAGCTCATAGGATCTATGTCCCCCAGGGTACTGCCAGAACGTAACCTGGTAACTATTTGATATGGTTAGGGTTAGGGTTAGGGTTAGGTAGGGTCCCTATATACAGAGAGTTGCGCCAACTCAGGATTTGACGCCATTTTGTTTCCAAATGGATCCTCACCGCTGCCGCTTAAGTACAGCGCTGTATGGATATTGGATACGCTGTACAATGGTCCGTAGTAATTAATTAGACTAATCGTGCTTCAATAAACTCAAAATTTACGG